TATTTACACATTGCTGATTAACTGAGTATTTACACATTGCTGATTGACTGAGTAATTTACACATTGCTGATTGTCCGGTATGATGCATGTTTACATAAAGTTGCTTCTATTACTCATTCTAACACTGCCATCAGTGGAGAGAAGTTTCAGCCAGATGGCTCTTCTTAAAACGCCAATGTCCGCGAAGCAGGTTGATTTGTAAAGTCATGGATGCAATAATGAGAATTAACATTGAAGGAGACCAAGCACTAAATGATACAGACCTGGATCAGTTAGTGTAAAGCTTCAAAAGTGTGACTGTAACATGCCTTTGTAATTTCTGCTTCTAACCATAGTCCAACGGAGAGGTATTATTCCTACGTCGTTTTTCAAGTGGTGGCCAGCCCAAATTGCTCAGCATGTCCATAATAATGACTCTCTGTGTGTAACTGCAGTGTTACTAACTTTTTGTAACTATTAAAAACCATAAAACAGTATTACTTGGTGTTTTAAGATTATTTATTTTTTAATACATGTATGTGGTTTTCCAAATTTTCCAAATTTTCCCCTTTATGCCGCGAAATTTTCCCAATTTGATGATTGTGGCTATTCCCAAAATACCACGGAAAGTCCCTGAACAGTCAATATTAACGTCATAAACTTTCATTTTAGAGGTTGTTGAGAAATCCCATTCAGCTTCACAGTTGTTATTGTATCGTTGTACTGTATTGCTACATCTACTTTATTGATGGTTACAGACTGGTGTTACAAAACAACGGGACGTTGTACGTCAAGCAGCGGGCAGGTCACTTGTCCTATGTTGAAGACCCAAAGGTACTCTTTGATAGCAAGACAAAATTTGCTTTACACAACATCAAAGTTCAAAGTCAATTACATTCATTCAATTCAGGTCTTTTGCATTGTCGTATGTGTTTGCTGTGCGACTCCAAACTACAGCTCATTTCATCTCAAAAACACTTGGCACTATATATGTATTATATATTAATATAGTATTATTATTATCAATGTCAAAGTTGATTGTTAGAATATGTAATGAGGACAGTGTAAATAAGTCATTTTGTCTTGTACCTAGCTGCCTACCTTATGCAGCATATTGTTAAAACCAATTATACAAACTATGAATCTCAATCAGCCTAAATTAACAAAAATACCGGGAGGTTTATGTCAACAATATGGGTTTATGTAAAGATTGCCACACATTTTTCCTTTTAAAGTCGACAGCGATATATCTTTCAAGGCTTACTTTTTGAAAATAAGGATTGTTATGTTTGTTCTTCGTGTTTAGGGATACAGAAGCATGTTGGCCAAATCTTTGACCAGTGATCACTCGAGCCATTCTTCAGTAAAGGTAAGTGGGGAATAATACCGAAGAAAAACAGTTATTTTCGGTGCCAAATGTGTTTCAGGGAGCATCCATCAGATTCATTGATTCTCTTGTACGATGTGTTTAACAGAAGGAACAAGTACAAAACAAGTATGAATACAATGCCTTGTTAAAGTGTTTATAGAAGTCTAATCGGTTTTGGTGGGAGGTTTAAAAAAAAACAACGGGTTTGTTCTGGTTTCTGAAATATATTTATATTTGTTCCAATGTTGTCTGTCATTTGTTTTAATGACTGTTACAATGTTCTGTATCAGTTTTACAAACTGCTACATGAAGGCTTAGCAACTAGAAATATTTGTTATCAAATCAACACCATTGTTGTGAATATTTTCAAATTGAAGTATCAGATTTTCTGTTCCAGCCTGATGTAGTGAAGGCCTTCACTTCAGACCCTAGACTGCTCGCTCTGACAGAATACTTCCTAAACACAAAGAATATGAAGGTACTGGTATTTAACTCTAAAAAGTTTAAATGTTTATCCACATAAGCCATGATTCAGATTTTTTTTTTAAAGTTTCTGTGTGACTTGTGAAATGTCTTAGAAATCATGCTAACAGTAGAAAGTATTCACTTTTGAGTTTAGTTGTGTGTGTTGTATGGTCTACAGTATAAATGCCATTTTAATTTTGGATATTCTTAATTTTGTCAACAGGATGTGGATTTCCTGCAGATTCTGTCCTCCATTGTGTATGAGTGTGTTACAAAAGAGAAGCCAGAATCTATCCCTTCCTATGTAGATCTTCACCAGGTAAATATAGAGTGAACTGCTTACAGATG